GTCAGATGCCTCTAGAGCATATTATGATAGCAAGCAAGAGCACTAACAGCTCTGCAGCAAAACCACATGCAGTTTTCCTCTCATAGATGTGTGGACGGTTTGCAGTCCTCTGTCTTCATTGGGATAGGAAAAAAGGCATTTGGAGGGCAGTGTCCACATGTCACATACCTGAGGCTGGTGGAGTTACTCTAACAGAGACTTAGGTCTGGCACTCCAGCTGTGAGCAGCGTGCCTGCTCTTTTGAGCTTAGAGTAGCCCACAGACCCTCCCCAGGACCCACTGACTTTGTGCAGAGGCCAGATGGCCAATTCAACAAGGCCCTTCCATGCCCTTGATCCTTAACGTAGACACACGTCTCCACTGCTTATAATGGGATGGGGCATCAGTGTCAGCCCCATTTTACACTCACGGACCATGGAGATGAGCACTGGCTGGATCTGCAGACCCACAAGATCTATTGTGAGCAGGCTTTGTCTAGGATTTTATTTATTACCTGGCCCCCTAATGTCCCTACCTTAATAAGGGACAGGACACTTTAGGTCTCAGACCCTGTGTTCAGTAGGCCTTGAACTGTTGGGTATTACCCTTTGCCCAGTGTATGACCACCAACTAAGGGGCACTAGGTCTTCTTGGGTGCACACTGGGCTAATCATCACTGTAGACACTTGCCCTGGTGTTACAGGTTCCTAATTCCTGGGGATCTGGCCATGTTTTCTGTCAGTGGCTTTTAGGTCTGAAATCTGCTCAGACCAGAGAGGGGTCATGACTTTTAATAGGGTGACTTCCCTTAGCCTCCTGCTCATCCATTCCTGTTTCCTTTGAATTGGTATGTATGTATATATGCATACATGTATTAGGCAGGCAGTGCTCTGTTGAAGGACCATCTGTTTTGCTCCTAGGAATGCTGCCTCTTGTTATCTGTCACCACAACTTGGCCAGTTGGCCTTCCGTGCCTGGCATGCTGCCTTGTTGGTCGTTATGATAATTGCTACCCCTGACTTCTGGCAGTCACATACCATCTCTAGGCCGCTATTGCTGTGGGGCCAGGTTTAGCTGCTGAAATCAGGAGTGGCCACAAAGCTCGTTATCAGTAAGTCACACTTTGTGACAACCTCTCCTAAGAGTGGAATCACTGGATTATCTGGTAAGCAAATGCTCAACTGCCAAAATGTTTTCCAAAATATACTGTGTTACACTATGTCCAGCAATCTGCAAGAGACCCGTTGTTCTACATCTTTGCCAATACTTGGTATTGTTGATCTTTTTAAAATTAAATTTTAGCCATTCCAGTAGGTGTGTAGTACATCTCATTTTGGTTTTATTTTGCCTTTCTCCAGTTACCATTGATGTTGAGCATCCTTTCTGGTGATTGCTGACCATTCATGTTTTCTTTTATGAAGTGTCTGATTCAGTTTCTGCCATTTTTAAAAATTGGGTTATTTGTGTTATTAAGTTGTAAAAGTTCTTTATATATTCTGGATATAAGCCCTTTGTCAGATATATGTATTGGAATATTTTCTTCCAGTTTTGCTTCATTTTTTTTCTTTTTTAAAAAAGATTTTATTTATTTGAGAGAGAGAGAGAGAATGAGCAGGGGGAGCAGCAGAGGGAGAGGGACAAGCAGACTCCCGCTGAGCAGGGAGCCTGCCCTGGGGCTCCATCCCAGGACCCTAAGATCATGACCTGAGCCGAAGGCAGACACTTAACTGACTGAGACACCCAGGCGCCCCTTGTTTCATTTTTTTCCATGGTGTCTTTCCAAGTTTTTAATTTTGTGAAGTTCAGTGTCTTTTGGTAGATAGACATTCTTAATTTTAATGTGGTCTATGTTACCAGTCTTTTCTGTTATGATTAGTGTTTTATTCTGCCCTGTTTAAGAAATCTTTGCTTATCCCAAGGTTGCGAGGATATTCTACTATGTATTATAGAAAAGATTTGTATTATTTTGTCTTTTACATTTTAATCTTCAGTCTGTTTGGAATTGATTTCTGGGTATGTTGTGAGATAGGATACAAGTTCATTTTTCACATGAATATACAATTGATGCAGCATCTTTTACTGAAAAGACCATCCTTTGTCGACTTCAGTGCAGTGGCATTTTTGTTATAAGTCAGCTGACCATCCTTGTAAGATCTGTTTCTACATTGCATTTTCTTTCTCTGGTCTATTTATCTGTGATCCAGTACCAAATTAATTACAGATTTGTAAATCAGCCAGTTTTGTTCTTCTTCATGACTGTTTTGTTGACTATGTGGGCGGTTCACATTTCCATGTAAATTTTAGAACTTTTGAAGCGGGTTGTTGGCTTCTACCCAAAAAGCCTTTTGGAAATTTAATTAAGATTCATGGACCCATGGGACGCCTGGGTGGCTCAGTCGTTAAGCATCTGCCTTTGGCTCAGGTCATGATGCCAGGGTCCTGGGATCGAGTACCACACTGGGCTCTCTGCTTGGTGGGAAGCCTGCTTCTCCCTCTCCACTCCCCCTGCTTGTGTTCCCTCTCTTGCTGTCTCTCTCTCTGTCAAATAAATAAATAAAATCTTAAAAAAAAAAAATTCATGGACCCTTTACAGCACTGAAGCTGTCTGTGAACATGGTATACCCCTCCATGTATAGGCCTTTACTTTCTCTCAGCAGTGGTCTTCATTCTGCCATGTACAGGTCTTGCACTTCTTTAGTTTAAGATTTATTGGATACTTGATTTTTTAAAAAGATTTTATTTATTGAGAGTGAAAGAGAGAGCATGAGAGGGGGGTAGGGTCAGAGGGAGAAACAGACTCCCCACTGAGCAAGGAGCCCGATGCGGAACTTGATCCTGGGACTCCAGGATCATGACCTGAGCCGAAGGCAGTCGCTCAACTGACTGAGCCACCCAGGTGCCCTGGATACTTGATTTTTTAATGTGACTATTAATGTTTTTTAAAATTTTCTAGATTTTTCTTGCTTATCTACAGATACCCAATTAGTTTTTATATATCACCTTGGTGTTCAGCGATTTTGCTAAGTTCCCTGTTTTGTTTCTAATGGTATAGATTGTCTTAAGTTTTCTACATACATTGTCATTAACAAGTAGTGGTGTTTTAATTTCTTCTTCTCCCATTCTTACACCTTTACTTTTTCCTCACCACACGAAGTAGTCAGGCCCTCTAGTATAGTGTTAACTGGAAGTGGCAATGCAAAGCATTCTTGTCTAATTACTGTTCTCAAGGTGAAAGCATTTAATATCTCACCCCCAACTGCTATGTTTGCTGCGTGAGGAAGAAGTTACAGGAAAAGACTTACTTTCCTGAACAGAGTTCCCCAGAGAAGGAGTTTGTTCAGTAGGGACTCTGCCACCAGCCCATTCTCCCATAGACAAGCTGTATGTACCTCCCCTTGCAGACAAGCCGCACTTAGTTCTCACACTGGGTAGCTCCATCCCTATTCAGATTAGGTAGTTCTTTTTTGTGTCATTTAGGGAGACACATATCATCTGTGCCTGTACAGGGTGGATGTTTCAGCCTTCATTTCTTCTTTCTGCCACAGTGTTGCCAGCCCTCTTTTCAGGTGGATATTCTCGTATTTTAGGAGTGACACTGAGGCCTCATAGGCTGCAGAAACACCGGGGGTCTGGAAGGTTCCACAGGAAAATTAGTTTCTTGTGTAGAAAAGCCAGGTCATGCTGCATTTTCCTTAGTGAAATGGGAAGGCTAATGAAGTACATACATATGGCTCGGCCAGCAGCCTGAGAGAGTGGGATCCACGAGCCCCGGTGGAAAGCCTGCCCCCCACCCATCCTCTGATCATGGGTGATGATGGTAATCAGATGGCCTATGAAGCCAGGCATCCGCCCGTTGTGTACACTGATGATTGCTTGGCTGATCAGCTGGTGTTTGGATGGAAGGGCCACAGAGCTGAAAAGTGGGACACTTACCAGTGTGGATGCGGCCCTCTCATGTTCTTACTTCACATGGGAAATGTGCGGTGTTCTCCCTTGTTCTGCACTTCCTTTATGGTCCTCACGCAATGTCGGCTGTGATTTAGTGTTGAAACCTGTTCCTTGTTTTACCATCATGTACTAAAGGCCTTTAGAAGGGAAAGTGTGTAGCACGTACGCAGTTTGGAACTAAATGGAAATCACATTTGAAAGGATTTGTGTTTAGGAATTCATGATTAAGTTTTTATCACATAATGTTAAATCTGATTTTTTTTGTTTTATTTCTCTTTTTGTTTTACTGAAACATTGTGTAGAGGGGCAGTGACCTGGCTCCTGGCATGTTCCCTGAAGACAGGTATCCCTGGTCTTTCTTACCTAAGCTTAGGTTTTTTTTTTTTTTGTTTTTTTTTTTAAGCTTAGTTTTCTTATCCCCACGGTGGCATTTGAAAGTGCTCTGCAAATACAGAATCCAGGAGCATCTTGAAAATCAAGCATTGGGACTCTGAGATGGGTGGTGACCAGCCACCGTTGTCTGTGGGACATGCTGGTGTCCGTGCCACGCCTTCGGGCACTGGCTGCTGTCTGTCTGGAGAGCCAGGGGCGGCAGGACAGCGCATTGTGCGCATCGGGCGGGGGGGGGTTCCCACATGCTCCTGGCGGCGCCCTCCCCAGGTGCTGAGTACCTGTGGGCGGGGCCCTCCTGCCCCTGGGCCCACCTTCGCCCTGAGCTACACTCATGGTGTTTGTGTCTGCAGCACACCCACCCCCTCATTTTGCTCCCTGTTTTGAAGAACCGTTGAGGAAGGACGGAAGGAAATCAATTTTGAGGAAAATTAAATTTTCTTCTGAAACAGAGTGATGGTTGTACCACAGTAGGCAGGGGTTAGGCAGCTGCTGGTGGGGAGCCGTAGCTGTTCTTGTGAGCTCCAGGTCAGTGCCCCTCGCTCTGCTGGCTCTCGGCGGCCTGCGGTGCTAGATATTTTAAAGAGTGGGTGTGCCCTGCCTCTGCGCCTGGGTGGATGTGCTGTGCTGTCTGGATTGTGGCCACATACCACACTCTGTTGACATTACCCTCTGTTGCTCAGCTTCAGACAGCAAAGTCCTGACGTGTGCAGCCGTGTGGAGGATGCCGAAGGAGCTGGAGCCGGGCAGCCACGAGTCCCCTGACGATTCATCAAGCACCGCGCACAGCCTGGAGCTGCTCTGTCACCTGGACGACACGGCCCACGGCAGCACGGCCTGGTAGGGCTCTGCATGTTTCCGACGCCACAGCGAGCTTGGAGGCTCGACCGCGCGCATGTGCACACTCCCTTTCCTGGGGCCGCGGCTCACACTCAGAACCCTGCTTTCTTGTGAAAAGATGGTATAGATGGCTAGCTTTATCTCCCCCCCCCTTCCTTTCCTGTTTCTCAGTCTCAGTTCTTCTCCACATTAGCTACATTATGGAAGCTCCGTTGCATACGTCGTGAAGGAGCCTGTGTGCAGGTGTTCTTTCCATCTAAATCTGTGCTGCCAGGTCCCTGCCAGGATGAGGGTGAAGTTCGGTGCTGGAGAGCACTTAAGTGTCCTGTTGCTTTTTAACTTCGTAGATACACTTCCATTCAGCAATCTTACGTGTAAATTAATTGATTTCTTACTTTAGGCTGAAGGCTTGTACTTTCTCCTCCTGTAGGCTGAGTAAGGATGTGCTGTGTGCGCACCGTGTGGTACCCCGAGCCCTCCACGTCTTTACCCTTGCATCTGTCTCCTCCGTATGTCATGTGCAGTGCCAGGGGATGGAGATGCCACCAGCGCCCATCGGGCTGCCTGGCCCATCGCTGCCCATGTGTTGTGGCCGAGGCTTGGCAGTACTCACCTCCATACCCGGTGGGAGCCTCCTCGGAGCACTGAAGCCTTGGCACATTCAAAAGGCTGTGCTTTCTAGAAGGGGCTGTGGGAGCATAATGTTGGTATGGGTGTTTACAACAGTAGTTATTGTTTTACTTAGTGTAGTAACACTTCTGTGTGTGCACACAAGTGTGCATGTGTGAGAAAGAGCTCTATCCTCTGTATACCCACTTCTGTTTGGGCCAAATATACCAATTAAATAAGTGTAATCCAACACGTATTTATTAAGCACCTGCTGCATGCGCCTGCCAGACTCCAGGGATGCCAATCTGATGGGTCAGGGACCCGGCCTCAAGGAATCATGCGTGATCTCCCAGGGGAGACCCCCAGTGTAAACATCTTGAGTGACACAGGGCAGGCTGTGGCATGCACTGCAATCATTAGGAACTCCGTGCCGTGGGTCCCCCGAGGAAAGAGTCATTAATTTTTACTAGTGGAATTGAAGAGGGATTTGATTAGGAGCTGACATGTGGAGCTGGGACCAATGCAGTTTCCGTGGCAGCAGCGGGTCTTGGAGCGGCAAAGGGAGCAGAGCTGGGGGTCGGCGCCGTTTGTGGCTCTGGAAGGCCTTTGTGCGCTCGTTTGCGGGCGGTGTGTTTTCACGGGTGCCAGGCTGCTGTTCTCCACACGGAGGTGTCAGACCCCGTCTGCAGGAAAAGGAGATGCACAGGAGCCCTGCATCTCACGAGGGGTTGCGAGAGTGCAGAGCGAGTCTGGAACGTGTGCAGACAGACGCACACGTGTGCACATGAGTGCGGTATGTACGTGAGTGCCAGGAGATAGACTGGCACGGGGGGCGGGGAAGACACAGTGCAGGCCAGCAGCGACTTTGGGGAGATCAGATGGCATCAGTGCCTTTAGCGAGCGCACAGATGGGCTGAGCTCAGAGGAGCAGGGGAGGGGCTGCTGGTCCACTTCCCCAACTCCCACCTGGGTTCAGACACTCCATCCAGTGTTCCATCAGAGGAGTGGTCACCTCTGTCTACGTGTGCTTGTCAGAAAATGAACGTCAGTGAAATGTTCAGTCTGGGTCACACCCCCATGATCACAATCCTGTCATCACACTCCTGGTGATCATACACTAGGTGATCACACCCATGATCATATTCCTATCATCACACCCCTGGTGATCACCCTCAGTGATCATATGCCAGTGATCACATCCCTGGTGATCATACGCTCTGTGATTGCACCACTGTGACCACACCCATGATCACTCCCCTGTAATCATATTCCTATCATCACACCCCTGCTGTCATACTCAGTCATACACCAGTGATCACACCCCTGGTGATCACATGCTCTGTGATTGCACCCCCATGATCACACCCATGATTGCACGCCCAGGGTCACACCACTGATCATATTCCTATCATCATACCTCCAGTACTCACACCACTGGTGATCACACCCCCTGTGATTGCACCCCCGTGATCACACCACCATGACCGCACCCCCTTGATCTCACCCCTGTGATTGCATCCCCTGATCACATCCCCGTGTTTGCACCCCCCCCGCCATGATCATACCCCTGTGATTGCATCCCCCTGATCGGACCCCCGTGATCGCACCCCCGTGATCACCCCCCCGTGATCACACTCCTGTCATTGCATCCCCATGATCATACCCCGTGATCACACCCCTGTGATCGCACCCCCGTGATTGCACCCCCTCAGCAATCACACCCCTGTGATCACCCCTTTGATCAAGGCCCGTGGTCACACCTCTGTGATTGCACCCCGTGATCACACTCCTATAATCACACCCCGTGATCACACTGTCTATAATTACACCCCTATGAAAGGGGAACTTCTTAGGAAGTAATTGTTGATACACAAGCACATCCAGAGAAATGGTCTTCCTCAAATTCACGTTGGAAGGTTGCCCTCTTCTGAATTTGCTGCCGTTGTTCAAAGCATTTCTTGAATTCCTTTTGTTATCACTTATGTCACTTTATGTGTTTGTTGACCTTTTCGCCTTGAAGTGGCTGGGACCCCTGCAGCTACAGGAACGATACAGACAGACCCTGTGTGCTCGTCCCCCCATCCCCCCTGGTGGTGACATTGCATAATCCCTCTGCACAGTCACCACTGGGGATGGGGTGTTGATAGGACCCACCGCGTGTGCACACTGAGTTCTCTGCCATATCATCATGGGTGTCTCTTGGTGCAGCCGGCACCATAGTCAACATACAGAACCGGGAGCCCTCCTGCTTGCTGTTTATGGCCTTAGCCCACTGCTCCCCATGCGCCATCCTTAATCCCTGGCAAGCACCAGTCTGTGCTCCTTCTGTAGACTTGTCATTTTGAGAAGGTTCTGTGAATGGAATCGTCCACTCTGGAAGCTTTGATCGTGGCTTTGTGCACGCACTGTGATTCCCTGGGGGTCCTTCCTGTTGTCACCTGTGTCTGCCAGTGGCCCCGCCCCTTTATTCTGAGTGGTAGTCCATGGGACTGTGGTTTCTGTGACCATTCACCTGTGAAGGACAGCTGGGTTTCCACTGGGGTTTGGATATCCTGATGAAGCTGCTCTGAACAGGAATGGACAGGTGCTCACATGAACACAGGTTTTCATCTCTCTCAGCCGAATGCCCTTGAGTGCAGTTTGTGGGGTACCTGTAGGTGTGTTTTGTACAAACTGCTGGAGTAACGTGTGAGGCCCAGTCTCTGCATCCTCGCTGCCCTTTGGGGTTGTCATGCATGGTTTTTTTGTGTCTTTTTTTTTTTTTTTTAAAGATTTTATTTATTTATTTGACAGAGAGAGACACAGTGAGAGAGGGAACACAAGCAGGGGGAGTGGGAGAGGGAGAAGCAGGCTTCCCGCGGAGCAGGGAGCCTGACGCAGGACTTGATCCCAGGACCCCGGGATCATGACCTGAGCCGAAGGCAGACGTTCAACAACTGAGCCACCCAGCCTCCCCCTTTAGTGACGTCTTATTATCTGATAGGGAATTTGGCTTTTGGAAATTTAAGTCTGGTGAATACATGAATGTGAAGGTGCTGTTTGGGGTCAAACATGAGGCAACTGGTAGTTTTGTTTGCTTGCTTTCGTTTTTGGTTTATAAGTTGGGGCTGAAGCAGTCCCAGGACAGGGCCCCCTGGACACGTCCTGGGCATCGGCCCCGCTGCTGGCCGTAAGGGAGCTTCTTGGAACAGCACACAATCCACAGTCTGCAGGGTTGTTGCTGCGCCCCATAGGGCGCTGTGTGGGCTCCTGTCCTCAGGGCCACTCAGCTTCTATTTGCTCTGGAGCAGCTGGGCCCCAGTGGACGTGGCCCCACACCCCCATCCCAGCCCTCTAACACGCAGCAGGTGGGCAGTGCCTGGCAGGCCCACCTGCCATTGAAGATTCTAGGCCTTGTGACTGAGTGTGTTTGGTTCGAACTCCCACCCATGGAGGTAGATGGAATGCTGGCCTGGAGGGCAGCATGCCCTGTCTCTTGTGCTCACCTGCCGCGGGGCTGCGTAGGTTGCTGGAAAGTCGAAGATTTCTCTCAATTGCAAATGAAGATTCCTGAAACGGAGGAAATGCTTCACAGTTGTTATCTTGGCTCCGTGGCAGGATCTTTGTGGAAGTGTGGCACCTCCATACCTGTTAGGATACGTGATACAAACAAGCCAACAATCCATTCTCTTCCTAATTTCTCAGATCCACATTGCGGGGCTGCAGATCCCAAGTTGAGCCTAGAGGGGCCACCCCGTAGCTTCTGGTGTGGATTAACGAGTTGTCCTCCTGGTTCAGTACCCCTCTTCGGAGAGGGCCTCTCTAAAAGAACCACTCTTCCACCCCCACCCACATCTTCCTGTCCTTGCACCCAGCTTTATCTCATGTAAAGGCATGACCATGCCTGGCACTCTGCCATGTGCGTTCACACCCGCATCCCTGAACCTCCTTGGGGCAGGGGCCTTGTCCAGCAGCAGGTGCGTCCTCAGCACCGAGGACAGTGCCAGCCACAGCGCTCTGCTGTGTGAGGGACCCTGGACGCTGAGCCCTTCTGAGGTCCTCAGGCGCTGCCTCCTGCCCACACGACCCTCTCAAGTAGGGACCGTGGCAGAGAAGGTGACGGCATCCAGCCTTTCCTACTCAGGGCAGTTTTTCGGATTCAGAGCCAGGCAGACCAACCCCAGGACACCACACACTGCCCAGAACTGCCTCCCTGCTGAATGAATGAACAAAAGGAGCCACTTGTCGTCGTCACGCTGTGATTTGAAAGTTGTTTCTGTTGCTGGGAGTATAAATACGTCTTCATCAGAATGAGTTTTTTTTTTT